CCCCCCAGACCAGAGCAGCCCCCCAGACCAGAGCAGTTCCACAGACCAAAACAGCCCCCCAGACCGAAACAGCCCCCAAGACAAGAACAGACCCTGCAGACCAGAACAGCCCCCGCAGACAACAGCCCCACAGACAAGAACAGATCCCCCAAACCAGAACAGCCCCACAGGCAAAAACAGCCCGCCCAGACCAGAACAGCCCCCCAGACCAGGGCGGCCCACCCCCCAGCCCCCCGGCGCCTCACCTGGGCTGACCGCCCCTCGGAAGCAGCGGAGGAGGCTGCGCTCGGGCGCGCCGGCGTCCGCGCACCTGGTCCGGCCTCTCCCTGCCCGGGTGGGACCGGGCGCCGCGCTGCGCACCTGGCTCGGGGCCGCACCCGGACTGAGGCCGCCCAAGGCCGCCCGCGCTGCACCCCGGCCCCCGCGTCCGCGCCCCGGGCCGGACTTTGCCCCGCCCCGCCCGGCAGGTCCGAGTCAGGTGACCCCGGGGCCGCCGGCCGTTTTCCAGTCACAGCCGCTCCGCGTTTCCGGCCGCCGCGTTGGGGTCCCGGCCTCCGCGGGCGCCGGGCCGGGGTCGGGCGCGGTCTCGGCTCCCCGCAGCCTCCGGCGCCCCGGTTCAAGCGAGTCTCCCGCCTCAGCCTCCCGCCCGGCGGACGTTTGTATTTTTAGCAGAGACGGGTTTCACCGCGTTGGCCGGGCTGGTCTCGAACTCTTGACCTCGTGATCCGCCCGCCCCGGCCTCCCACAGTGCTGGGATTACAGGCGCGAGCCCCCGCGCCCGGCCCCTAAAAGGAGGTTTTATTGATATATTGATCATTGGACAAAAACGTGACCACAGGCCTGTAGGAACATAACTTTATACCTCCCTTAGGAGCATAATTTAGTTTTCGCTAATTTAGTGTTTGCAGCGACTTCACAGCACGTCACTGCCGTGGATAATGAGAATCGAGTGTGTCTGTGGAGGGTTTTTGCTGTTTTCTGTATGGGGATAACGCTGGGCTTATAAAATGAGTCTGGGAAGCTGTCCTTTTATTTTGTAGAAGGGATTGGAAGAATTCGTATTAAAGTTCTTCTTTAAATGTTTTGTATAATTTGGTGGTAAAGCCATCCGAGCCAGTACTTTTCTTCGCAGAAAAGTTTTGAAGTACAAATTCAGTTTCTTTAATGGTTTATAGGATTGTTCAAGTTACCTGTTTAATGTTTTGATAGTTTAAGGCTTTCAAGGAATTGGTCCATTTCACCTAAGTTGCTAAATTTATGTGAATGCATCATCCATAGCTCTTCCCGGTTCTAACAGCTGTAGGGTCTGTGGTGATGACCCCCACTCCTCATCCGGGTAATGTGCCCTCTCTCTTACCAGTGTTGCTAGACGGAGGTCTATCAGTTTCATTCGTTCAAAGAACCAGCTTTTTGCTTCATGTTTTTTCCCTTTTGAATTATTTTAATCCTGCTCTTGTATTTCCTTTCTTCTGCTCCTTCTTTTCTGTTTCTTAAGGCAGAAGGCTATTACCTTGAAGCTTTCTTTTTTTCTAATGTAAGCATTTGTGCTATAAATTTCCCTCTAAGCATTGTTTAGCTATCTCAATTTTTGATAAGTTGTATTTTCATTTTATTCAGTTTAAAATATGTTTGAAGTTTCATGAAACTCCCTCTTTCATCTATGGATTATTGATCTACAGATTATGTTATTTAGGATTGTGTTAATTTCCAAGTGATTGGACACCTTCCTGATATCTGTTATTGACTTCTAGTTTAATTTCTAATCTCATCATGGCCAGAGAACGTGGTTTATAACTTTGATTTTTTTTTTTTTTTGAGACGGAATGTCACTCTTGTGATCCAGGCTGGAGTGCGATGGCGCCATCTTGGCTCACCGCAACCTCCACCTCCCAGGTTTGAGTCATTCTCCTGCCTCAGCCTCCTGAGTACCTGGGATTACAGGTGCCCACCGCCATGCCCGCATATTTTTTGTATTTTTAATAGAGCGAGGGCTTCACCATGTTGGCCAGGCTGGTCTAGGACTCCTGACCTTAGGTGACCCACCCCCCTTGGCCTCCAAAAGTGCTGGGATTATAGGCGTGAGCCACTGTGCCTGGCCAACGTTGATAGTTTTAAATTTGCTAAGGTTTTTTTTTGTTTTTGAACCACAATATGGTTTATCTCGGTGTGTGTTCCGTGTGCATTTAATAATCTCTGAGCTGCCGTGGGGGGTGGGGTGTTCTGTAAGTGTGCTTGTGTCTAGTGGCCGGCATCGATATTTATATTTTGCTGAACGTCTGTCCGTTAGTTCTATTACTGAGAAGAATGCTGGTGTCTCCTACTGTCATCGCGAATGTGTTTACTTCTTTCAATTCTGTTGGGTTTTGCTTGATGTTTTATTTTGACTTTTTATTTTTTGAAATGGAATCTTGCTCTGCTGCCCAGGCTGGAATGCAGTGGCATGATCTCTGTTCACTGACACCGCTGCCTCCTGGGTTCAAGCGAGATTCTCCTGCCTCAGTCTCCTCAGTAGCTGGAATTACAGCCACGTGCCACCACGCCCGGCTAATTTTTGTATTTTTAGTAGAGATGGGGTTTTGCCACGTTGACCAGGCTGGTCTCGAATTCCTGCCCTCAAGTAATCCATCTGCCTCGGCCTTTCAAAGTGCTGCGATTACTGGCATGAGCCACCACGTCCAGCCCACTTACTCTTTCAATCTTTTTTTGGTTGTTCAGATGGGGTAATCCCTGCTGATCTGTCTCCGAGTTCACTGACTCTTTCCTCTGCCATCGCCATTCTGCTATTGAGTCTGCTCAACGAAGTTTCGTTTTTCAATGTTGGTTACTGTGTTTTTTGGT